CTTATTTTAGACAAATAACTATGATTATCTGTCCACATCACTACAGATAAAGATAAAAGTTGATTTCTCATGAAGAGTTTTTTTTTYAATGTGAAATCAAGTTAGATTATCCTTGCCTTCACTGATTTTAACTTGTGAAGTAGAGGTTCTTACCTACCCAGCCTCATTTCTTAGTGAGGTTGCAAGGGCTCTCCTAAATATTAAGGAGTTCTGAGAAACAAATCTGTGGTGGGAGCCAGCTGGGATAAGTTAGAAGAGCACAGGAAGCTATGCTGTCTTCCCCCAGCATTGATACCTTCAGTTTGACTTCTCCTGTAAATGTGTTGGCAGTTGGCTTTATTTACTAAATTCAAGCTCATTTGGTTCTTATAGGGCAGTTCTCGTAAGTAAAAAATTATCATATAAAAGATAATACATTCATTCTTACTATCTTCGCACAGTTCTGTTTTTCTGTTCATTTCTTCCATATCTGCAAATTTTAATTTATGTGTAAATGCTATCAAGGTCCATAGTAAACAGAAAGTTTCTTTTTTAAAATTATCCTTTGGCTTTATTCAGCACTTACAGTGTACATAATAGTAGTTTAAAAGGGAAGATTCTAAACTCTTCATGTTCCCCGTGCTTCTGAGGCAGTAATTATAGCACTTGGTTTGAAATTTATTTGTTTCAGTTTGAGTATGGCTGTACATATGCACACCATTTCATCTGAAGCATACGGTTTATTCTTAACTGCCTTTGGGGTACCTAATTGTGTACTGGGTGTATGTACACTCTGTTGAGAGTACTAAAAAGAAAGACAGGAAGCCTTAGGTAGCTTAAGTTGAGAAAMTGCTTAACCATCAAAATATGATGTGATGAATACAATAATAAAAGTTGTGATACTATAACATTAGGTGATGAAAAGAAACTTGAAAGGGAGTTATTCATTTAGTTTTATTAATCTTTCTCATATTAAAAACTAAATCACTATTAACTTTGAACACCATAGAATACACCTTTCTACCCTCATTGATAAGGTATTTTTAAACCTTACTCTTGGATGTTGAAATATAATAGTACCCTCTTTTTGCTAAAGAGTGCCATATTGATATCCTTATTATAAATCTTCTGTTTAAAGCATCAGAATCACAAGGAGGGTTCCTATCAGTAGCCTATCCCAAGAGTACCCAACTCGGTAGGTCTAGAGTAGATCCAGGTATCTCCATTTCTAGTGAGTTCCTAGATGATGCTGATCCTCTGATCTAAGAGCTTCACTTTGAAAACTATGGATTGATCAAAATTCAAAAAATTGGCTAGGCATGGTGCTGTGCATCTGTAATCCTGGAGACTTGGGAAGCTGAGGCAGGAGGATCACAAGTCTGTGGGACCCTCAGCAACTTAGACCCTATCTCAAAATTTAAAAGGGGAGTTAGGGGGCTTGGATGTAGCTCAGTGGTAAAGTGCCCCTGGAGTCATTCCCCATAACCCAAACTAATAAATGTTTTTGGAGGCTTCCCAATGTCATCCAGTGTTTGTTTCAGGTCTGATCACTACCATTTCTAATTACTGCCAGTATACATTTGAGCTCTTATGTGCCAAACACTGTATTCACATCTTCACAGAAGTGACGATATGGAACCTCCTGAGGAATTTAGCCAAAGGAACCACACATGATGGCACATGTCTATAATCCCAGCAACTCAGAAGGATGAGGCAGGAGGATTGCAAGTTTAGGACCAGCTTTGGCAATTTAGCAAGGCCCTTAAGCAACATAACAAGATCCTGTCTCAAAATAATAATAGAAAGGGATATGGTTCAGGGTTAGTGGTATAGTGCCCCGAGTTAAATCTCCAATACCAAAAAAAAAAAAAAAAAGGTGTTGGGGGGGAGATCAGCCTAACAGGATCAACGGTGGCAGTATTATAGTGGTAAAAATAATCATTATTATGTATTTAATGCTCAGTGTGCTAGGAACTATTTTAAGTACTACTAAAACTCATTTAATCCTCACAAGAGTTTCATGAATTAGTGCATATAATCCGTATTTTAGATGAAAAAATTGTAAATGTTAAATAATTTCTAAAAATTCACACAGTGAGTATATGGAGGAGCCAGAATTTGCTATTCTACCTTCCTGCATTGCAAAAAAAAAAAAAAAAAAGTGAATATTGGTGGACTGCAGGAGGAATGGAATAATTGACTCTTAGAAAACGTATCAGAGATGGCACTGGAGAATCTTAAGGAATAAGTAGAATACAGTTGCACTTCCAAATGAGGGAGCATTTTCTTCAAAGCCAAAGAAACCTGAGAGAGCTTATATTCCTCAGATTGTCAGTAGTTATATAAGACCGTAATGCAGTAGGAGTGTAAGAACTAAAAAGAGACCATATAAGGCATAGGTCAAGGTCATGAAGAATTTTGTATACCAAGCTTGAAATTTTTATATTAGAATTAGGGATATTTTTCCTTCCCCCGCCCCCYTTTTTTTTTTCCTTCTATAACTGTCATCTCTGTAAGCCAGTGGTTCTCAAATATGGTCAGGTAGCAGAATCAGCATCATCTAGAGCTTGTTAGAAATGCATATTGGCTGGGGATATAGCTTAGATGGTAGAGTGCTTGCCTCGAATGCATAGGCCCTGGGTTCAATCCCCAGCATCACAAAAAAAAAAAAAGAAAGAAAGAAAGAAAGAAAGAAATGCATATTGCTTGGTCTACCCTATTCCTGCTGAATCAGAAACTGGTGGGTGGACGGAGCCCACTAGTCTGTTTTTACCAAACCTCCAGATGACTGTATGCTAGCTTGAGAACACTGCATTAGGTTATTGAGTAAAGTAACAGCAATCAGAGTAGTCATTATAGTGTTAATAATCATGTCTGTGACTGATTTAATTCTATCAAGAGTACAGCACTCAACAGACTTGAACTACTAACCCATAAAGTCCCGAGTTTTCAATTCTGTAAATATTTCCACAGAATTACACATGTACATTAAAATAAATTGGCAATAATATTCTAGAGCTTATATATATTAATATTATAATCATAATTACATTTTTAGTAGGAGTATATATGATCACCTATCATATAGTTAAATATATACAGCATTTAAGTTTTTGAGGTTTTCCACATCTAGTACAATGGGACAAAATGGGTTAGTACCTTTCAAGGGATATGTACCTATAATATTATCCATAAATTGGGATATGCATCTATATACCTACAACATTATTCATATCTTGTAAGCCTGTTTCTAATGTGAAAGAAATCAAGGACAAGAGTTTTTAGATTAACATTCAAAGAATAGCATGGTAACTATTCCTTTGCTACAGGATTTTAATCATTTAAAAAGAAGCAATAAACCATTTTTAAGAGTTTTTTGAGTTGTTTAAAACTGATATTAAAGCTTAACATATTGAAGTATTTAAATAAAATATGTCAAAGGAATAGAATTAATTAACTCTTTCCTGGTAGAAATAAAAATATGGAAAGTATAATTAGAATTCTCAAGCAAATGCTCATCTAAATCCCTGTCACCATCTTTTTTTTGCCCAAGTATGGTTGGTTCTGGCACTGAATGTTACACTATATCCTCATAGTTTATGTACTTCTGTAATTTATAGTTGCATATAGTCTTATTTTACTTTGCACAGCCCTCTACAAGCATTTAAAGCCCACTGTGTATAAAGTATTTGTTAAAGATCTGTATATCCTTTCCAGTTATTAGGTATACAAAACCCTTTTCATCTTAGAAATGGCATCAGCAATGAGTGAAACATTATGCTGTAATCAATGTAGTTAATGCTCAAATAAACAAAGCGTAGTGTTTTCTGGGTATTAATTCAATTTCTAAATCCCAGAGTTTCAGGGATTTGGAAGTGGAAAGTTCATTAAAATTTTGACATCAACACCTTCATTTTATTATGAATGGGGATGCTGAGGTCCAAGGAAGTTAAGTAGATGATTTGCTAATGGTCACAAGGGTGGATTGTGAGTAGCAGAACCAGAATTATAACCAGATCTTCTTTGATCACAATCTAAAAGATACAACTACTTTGAACAATATATTTCTGAGGCTTAATCTGATATAACCATTTAAAGTAAAATAGTATTCTGGTATTTTAGTACCAAATTCTTCTGACTTTGTATATTTAGAAATGTTTTGTATAAAAATTATTTTAAAGACCTTTATATTTACATAATAAAGTTATCAGATATTCTTTTACAAGAGTGATTTTTTAAAAACCTACTGTTTTTCAAAATTGATAAAAATACYAATAAGAAAATATAGATTCTTCCTACTTTTATTACTTAATACATGGGAGAATATAAACCACCAAAGAAGACAAATATTCAGCCTTCTAAGTCATTAGCAAACAAGTGCTGAAATAGCATTTAAACTTGGGATGTGTACGTCCTGGCTAGACTGCTTTCAGTTATTTTCAGGAAAAACTGGTCTAACCCACATGCCTTATTAGGTGATTTTTGCCAGCAGGTAACCTATAATCAAAGCATGTAGGTCTGCCAGAATGTTGAGTTCCTTGTTAACCAGCTGTGCCCCCAAAGCCCTCTGGATTGTTTTCAGAGGCCATCTCTAAATCATCATCTGAGTTTTAACACAACAAGTAATCACTGGGATTTCCACACGAGAGGGATGAGACTGATTGTAGAGTGAAGTGTAAGAGATAAAAGGGTAGTACTCATTCAAACTATCCTTTGAAGACCACTGAAATGAGATCTTCTGAATAAAATTGAGAGTTACTTTTAAGGCAGCATATGCATATTGTAGGCAAATTATAAATGTTGGAACTACAAAGGAATTTGAGAAGTCATCCATTTATTGAGATCCTCTTTTTAATAAAACTCTTGAGTTTTGAAATTGGGAGAATAGACTTATTAATAAGCTATTTTAAGCAATCATATTTGGTTTTAAATAAAACATAAATGTCTTTTACATTATTAAGAGTTGGAAGGGAGATTAAATTTTTTAGAATAATTTAATGAAATATTCTAATTTTTTCCAGTGCATCTGGGGGAGGTGTTGTAGCCATTGACAACAAAATAGAACAAGCAATGGTAAGTAAAAGTTTATAGTCCTCTAATTTCATAGATTGTGGGTCCTATGAAGCACTTTGTACTTATCAATTCTAGATAACAAAGATCTAATTTCTTAAAAGTTGACTAGATTATATTTTTTGGTAATGAGATTTAGTTGAAAATGTTAGAACATTGAGAATTTTTAGTCTAAAGATACAAGCTGAGTAAATATTTCTCCCATTTGGACATGTTACGCATCACGGTTGAGAAAGGGCCATTGGAAGGGACCAGTGAAATCACGCAGCTGAGCATGGTGATTTCATCAAAGGCCATGTCTCCATGAGCTTCAATGAGTTGACTGGTTTCAGGTTCTGGTTTCTGCTGTTGCCATCATTTTTTTGGAGGGGGAGGGTGTTCCCTTAAAATACATTGATTCAAGAATATTTAAAGTAGCCAGGCATGGTGGCCCATGCCTGTAATCCTAGCAACTTGGTAGGTTGAGGTAGGAGGATCACAAGTTCAAGGCCAGTCTAAGCAACTTAATGAGATTGTCTCAGAAAATACAAAGGGATAGGATAAAGTGATAAAGCACCCCCTGACTTCAATCCCAGCACCACAAGGAAAAAACAAAAAAAGATCATTATAAGTATAGATGAGCTATAAATAAGGACTCTTGATCTCAGACTGTTAGGAAAAATAAATTCCAAGATTTTAGAGTTGGAAATTACATTATCCATATCTTGTAAGCCTSTTTCTTCTGTAAAAGAAATCAAGGACAAGAGTTTGTTAGATTATTCCTTTGCTACAGGATTTTAATCATAAAAGAAGCAATAAACAATTTTTTAGAGTTTTTCAGTTGTTTAAAACTGATATTAAAGCTTAACATTTTGAAATAGTTAAATATGTCAAAGAATAGAGTTAACTCAATCTTGCCTGGTAGAAATAAAAATATAGAAAGTATAATCAGAATTCTCAAATGCTAATCTAAATCCCTGTCACTTTATCTCTCTCTGAAGTAGTTCTGCAGCTGATTTAATATCATTTTTTCATTGGAGGATTACTTCAACATGTAAGCATGTGGTTTTTTAAAAACATTTTTTTAATTCTAAGCTTAAATTGATTTGAGGGAGTGAATATTATTGGAAATCATCCAAAATTTTGAAAAGAAGACTTTGATGGTGCATACTTGTAATCTCAGCTCCTTAGGCTGAGGCAGCAGGAGGATTGCAAATTTAAGGCTAGCCGGGGCAACATATCAAGAACTTGTCTCAAAAAGAAAAGAAAAAACTGGGAACTTGCTGCTCTAGTTGAGAACTAGATTTTACTCAACCCATCACCCATAGGCCTAGTCATGATATAGCAGGAACATTAAAAGCAAGAGCAGGAAAACATATAAAAACACTGTGTTTATAAAAAACACTTTATGTTTACAGGGCACCAAGTAGTCTAGAACCAAAAAGCAATGCCTTTTCCCTTCTATATTTGATATTCCTAATTTTGTTTTTCACAGGATCTGGTGAAAAGCCATTTGATGTATGCAGTAAGAGAAGAAGTGGAAGTTCTAAAGGAACAAATAAAAGAATTAGTTGAAAGAAACTCTTTACTTGAACGAGAAAATGCACTGTTAAAATCTCTTTCAAACAATGATCAGTTATCCCAGCTCCCAGCCCAACAGGCCAATCCTGGTAGCAGTTCTCAGCAGCAAGCAGTGCTAGCACAGCCTCCACCGCCTGCGCAGCCTCCGCAGCAGCCGAATGTCTCCTCAGCATAAGCTTTCTTAAGCCTCACTAAGGAAAACACTGACAGCAATCCATCTGTGTGCCACTGCTGTTCTTCCCACTTTATACGAAAGCAAGTAGCCATGCTTTGGTTGTGTGTTTGGCCTTTTCAGTATTAGACAATCATTCTACAAGAGCTTTTCCTCTCTAAGATGTCATGCAGCGCTGTCGATGTCCAGTTCTATGTCATCAGTACACACGGAGAAAAATAGATGGGGTTTTCTAAAGCAAGCAGAAGTCTGCATTTCACCTGGTGCGCATGAGTAGGGTCTTTAAGAGTTTTGGTGGCTCTCCATGTTTCCTGTTACCRTGGATTTACCTTGAGCCTTCTTACCACATTATAAGTAACAGTTCATCTAAAGAGCCACTTTTCTTTCAACATCAGTAACATTTGCCTACATAAGTTTTCATTTATTTGTGTTTTATTTATTACAGGGCTGCTATTTTCATAATGTACATGAACAATGTCACAGAACTTTTTTAATTTTTTTGAATAATTATAAATAAATATCAGTAAAGGAATTGAAAGACAGGATTGCATTTAATAGATAAAACGTTTAGGCAATAATTGAACAAAAGAATCCTGGCATATTTCTAACACTAATGGCAATTTAGCTTTGGTATTTATTTTCAGTAGTAAAGACCCAGCTTGAATGTAAATTTTGTATAGTGTAAGTATGAAGAACGTAGTGCAGCTGTACAGGTAGTCACCAGTTATTGTGATATAATAAATAATTGGGCTATTTTGATGAAGAAAACTTTGTTCATTTGTTTCTACTTTCTAATAGAGAAATTGCCACGATTCCTCTGCTTTCTGACATTTCGTATGACTTTTCTTTTGGTTGGGAATAAAAAGCTGTGAAATTGTTCAACCTACTTTGTAACCAAAGAAGCAAAGCTGTGTAATGGAGTTTTGTTTTTTGTTTTTTTTTTTGTTTTGTTTTGTTTTTATATATATAATGCACATTCTTTATGTATTTTTATTTAGTGTTTTCTCAGTCACAATTTTCTTTGCTGTCTAGCATGATCTGCATGACCTATAATCTTTGAACCACTTTCGTACCTCATGTTTTTATCCAGCACTCTTATTGTAATATGTACTAGTCTGTGAACAATGTCAAATAAAAAAAAGAACGAACAGGTGGTTTGGTGGAGCTGAGCTAGTGTGCAAAACGCTAGTTGTACAAAAACAAAAATGAAGTGAGCCATCTTTTGTTCATTTAAAATGGTGTTTTGAATTTCGTATGCAGAAAACGTTTTGTTACATTGCAGATTTTAATGTATTTAATAAATGCAACATGCAGATTAAGTGCAGTGTATACTGAGTATTTAAATTAAAATGTACATTTCATAAATACAGTTTCAAGAGAAAGCATCATTTTGTGTATACTAACACATTAAGTGTATGTCAGAAATTGATGTATAAATATATATTTTAACACATTTTCTGAAATTAAACTGCAGTTTTGTTGAAATATGTGGCTCTATATGTGTTCAAAATTTGACTAGATTTGTATTTTCACAGTTCAGAGTATTCCTTAAATGTGAAAACCTGTGTTGTTAATGATTTAATGATAGTTCTTAAATTTTCAAAGTAAATAATTTGAAGATTGCTAGAATGGTGAGCAATATTTGTACTCAATAATCATATTACATTAAGTAGGAAATCCTTGTCTACCAAAACTTTTACTTGAATTCAGAAAGGTGCCTGTAGAAATTAACGTGCTCTATCTATAGCCAGTGAACTAATCAGGAATGAATGGGAAATGGTAGTTACCTCTCCATGTTTAAGAGGATAAGTGTTCTTTATTTGAAATAAAAGCAGATTATCCACAAACAAAAGGCATAAAATTGAGATGTACATGGGATTACCAAATATTTTATATTCTAGTTGTGCTGCAGGATGTATTTTCAGCGAACACATTTTTAATGTTAGTTCCTTCAAATATTTCTAGTTATTATCTATATAGGCTTGATAGTCACCCTAAGAACGTGAAGTAGAGCCACAGTGGGTGAGATAGAATGTGAAGCTTTGCAGTGGGAGTGTTAACCAAAAGATGTGCTGCGTGCACCCTTCAGTGCTAACAGTGAGTGCTTCACTCAGTCAAAGAAAAACATGCAAGTAAAGCTTGGAGAGCTGGGAATGTTGTCAGTGGGAGAGCACTTGCCTGGCACGTGCAGGGCCCTGCAGTTGTTGACCCCAGCACTGGGAAGAAAAAAAAAAAGTTGCAATTTTTGTGAAAGTAAGAGATAAATTTTTGGTTCTGGGGACAGAAATATTTTATAAAGGATAGTTGCTGTGATCAAGAAAATTAATATGTTAAAGTTTAAAATGGTAACAGCAGTCACTACTAATGTTAAAAAGGARAGGAAACCATTCACAGGAGAAATAAAGTGGTTTCTGAAGTTTCAACCTCTAGTAACCTAAGAAATACAAGTTAATATTTTTAACCAGTTGTTGTGTCTTTTAAATAACAGGGCTTAATGTAGTAAGTCAGGCTTTTCTGTGTACTTGAGAAAGAAATTTGGCAATATGTATCAAGAGCCTTAAATACTAATAGTCTTTTCAGTTCAGTGATGTGAGAACTCTTGGTGCAATGTCAGAAATACAAAATTATTGTGCCTGCCCTCTGCTTACTTTCTCCTTCCATCAGAACTCAAAATTCTCCCTTTAGCCCGGCACCTCCCACCCCCACTAAAAAAAAAAAAAAAAAAAAACTGCAAAGAGAAGTCCCTACATCCACACCTCGCATTCGGGGATAAAGTGGAAAAGCTATTAGACTTGTATTTGGAAGTGCTGAGCATTCCCCCAATGGGTTAGTTTGTTTAGGATCTTGAGTAACTCAGTTTTACCTTGAAGCTTTGGGTCTTGCTCCAAATAGAATATTAACTGGTTGAAATTCCAATTTGGGGGCAGTCTTATAGGTATGTCGTGTATCTCTAATTTCTCAATGCAGTGTCTACAGACTTGGGTGCTACATAAGTGCTGTTGGTTTATTTAGGCAACCAGGAATTCATAAAGTAGAAATTTTTGTAATACAGTTATATGTGTATAATTCAAATCTGATCTTCCCCAAAGAAAATTCATCTTATGTAATTCCAATGTGATGTTGGAACTTGCAACATCTCAAAAGACAACACACCAAAAAAAAAATATTTAGTTATTTTAACTCATAATTAAGTTATAAATGAAGCTATATAGCCCAGTGGTTGATATGATTGAGTTCTCTTCAATAATACTGTTAAAAAGACAAAGCTTAGTCTTCAAGATTTACAGTTTAAGGTTACAGATACAAAGCAACAGTTGGGGGGAGAAAACCTTACTTGGTACTTGTACAAAAGATGGCTTTGTCAGAGTAGGTTTCCTAAGAGGTAACATCTGAGTTTTAGGTTACAAGAGCCAAGTGGAAAGGCATTCCAAGCACAAGAAAACAGTGCTCAGAGGTTTAAAGCAGAAAGCATGAATAAGAGTCTTAAGTGAGCCCCAGAATTTCCTGGGAAACAGAGTGGCAGTGATGACCCCACTAGCCCTGGTGGTCTTGGCACCTATTAGAAAGCAAGAATGATTTATTGAATGGTTCTAAGCAGTATGATATGTGCTCAGATACAGTGGCAGATGGGAAGTTGATTGCGGGCTGAAACTGGAAGCTAAGAAATAATTTTGGAGGGACAATAGGAATCCAGAGAAGAAATGATGAAAAGGCAAAGTTGCACAGGCAGTTCCTGTGAAGCTGGTGGAGGAAGGGTGTGTCGGGCTTTTCTGTGCCGTTTTTCAATGGATGTTCCATTCCCAACATCAGATGTCTTGTTTCCTTGCCCTTTCAAGGAAAATCAAAGAGCCCCAACTCATACTTGAAAGTTTGAGTCCGTCTTTTATGTCCAACAGCCATATATTTCATATATCTCTATGAAATCAAAGTCTTTGTTTCCTGTTAAAGAGTGGGGGACATGTAGGAACCTTGATGATCACTTTCTGCCTCTGTCAGTTCAGCCCTAAAGGTTAATAAAATTTAATCCTTTTATGGTGACTAGGATTAGCATAATTCCAAAGCCTTTCCCTAAAGAGATGTTTCTTGCTCTCTGAAAGGATGAATGGCTTCTGGCTCCACTGCAGGTCCTGATAACACTAGTCAGACTAGATTTTGCCAAGTTTTAGCCTTTTGTCCTTTGAGGGAGATCAGTCCAGCAGACTTCTAGATCAGTCCCCAGTTCAGGCAGCAGCCCCCTGCCACTGCCCTTCTCCAACCTCCTAGTAATCCATGTTTTTATTTTCTAGCAATACTACTCATTTATTATTCTGTGAGGTACATTTGCACCAGTTCATCTTTTTTTGACATTCCAGAATATATCCTTGTCTCATTAATTCTGTACCAGGTCACAGAAATCCATACCGAGATCTGCTCTTCAAATACATATATTCTCTTTGTAGGTGGAAGGATCACCTATATAAGTGCTATGGTTACTATTTCCTGAGTGGGGTACAATTGGTATGGCATGCTGTGTTCAGAGAGAAAAAATGCTATGTGAGGCACTGTATAAAGCAAGTTTAAGTTCACAGACATCTGCACTCCCCCTCCACCCCCACCCCTTAATGGAATCATCAGATAAAGAAACTAAAACAACTTTTCAATATTAGTAATGGCAAAGTAAGAAGCTGGTGTTTTGCACTGGCACAGTCCACTTGGTCATTGAATTGGTTTAACATACCTGGAGGGTGAGTTAGCTTTATTTTTCTTTCTCTGCACCGGGAAACTGATAGATTAGGCTGTTTGAAGTATTTTCCTGCAGCCTAATGTCTCAGATCCAGAGATTTACAGACTTAAGACATTACCTACAGAAGACATAGTTACCCCTCAAAAAAGGGAAGGCAAAGGTGTGCTAACTTGGAAAAAACTGAATTTTAAAACAAGACAAATGCAACTCTTCAACTCTCCCATGAAAAAAAAATCGAGGCTACCTTCTCATTCCAGCCTCCAGCATGCCTGCAATGTTCCCACGTAACGACAAAGTGCTCTTGCCCACTGCCATCCAGAATGTTTTCTAGATCACAGTTCTGCTGTCATTCTCAGGCAAGCAACGCATCTATAGATAGATCAAACCAGAGCAAGTCCATACGTGTGCACAAGGTACTATCAGGTCAGTGTCTAGTTCTAGTATTGCTACTAGAAATAAATATACAGTATCACTTAATCAGGTGGCAGACTTGCATAGACAAGAAAAAAATGTGTAAATTATGAAGCAGCCAAAAGTGAAGTTCAGGAGGAATTTGGGTTACATTGTTTTGTTTTATAAAAACATTGTAGAAATGTGATTCCATTCTCTTTTAGTGTAGGTGCTGTGCCCTGTAGGAGACATTTGGGGATAAAAAGATGAAAGGGACATGATCCGTGCCCTCCCAGAGCTCAGGATCCATGGACAGGCCGAAGCTGGAGCAGCGCAATGCCAGTTTCAGGTTCAGGGTCATGGTGTGTGGACCTCAGACTTTATTAGATAAAGGTTCATGTAAATAACAGTGACATTGCCATGTCATGTGAAACCCTGTGCCTTTGCCAGGAAACAACTTCAGATCACCTATGGAGCTCTAACATTAAACAATGCTTTTAGAAAGAGGAACTGGTTTAAAAAAAAAAAGCCTCCCACCTCTACTTGGAGGCTATGAGATACTCCCGCAAAAGAGAAATTAGCCTGAGATAGAAGTTTACACATTTTTTAATACCCTAAGTTTTTAGTAGATAATGAAACTGATTTAAATCTAACTTGGCTAGAACAGGATTTGTGTGTCATGAATTATACTGTCTATTGTCTCACAAAAAAACATATCTTAGCTGACAAAAGCAGCTACCATTCAGGAACCAAGTTAAGAATAACTCAGGTGCCTGATGCCAAAAACAAATCTCTTAATAGAGCTGAGAATCCAGAAAGAAACACAAAGGTATACTGAGTAAATGACAAAAGTGGTGTTTCAAATCAGTAGGGAAAGAAGGAATTAGTCAACTAGTACTGAGACAGCAAAGCCATTTGGGAAGAAAGCAAAAGGTTTAGATCTCTCACAAAAATGGATTCCATCAGGACTAGCAGGAAGCCTTCTGCTCTTTCGGTCACATATCCTTTGTAGAAATTGAACCATGGAAAAGCAAATAATTACAGGAAGAGAGAATTGACCTCAGCAAAATAAGGAAAATGCAGGTGAAAATACAAGAAACTATCTCAGATCCAATGGGGCAAATATTAAAAAGAATATAAATCTGTAAATCAAGAGCTGGCAGGGTGTGGAAAGCAGGAATCCCACCTTGCTGGTGCTTGACAGGTTGTTGGCCCAGCTATGTTTCAAAGCAATTGGGTGGCACGATTAAACCTTAAGATTCACATGCCCTGTGACCCGGCAACTCCAGTTTTTAATATATACACAAAAGAAATGCACGTGCTCACAAGGCAGCTTACACAGTAATGTCATTTGCACCTTTGCTTGTCATAGTATAAAACTGGAAAACCCAAACACCCATCAAGGGAGTAGAATACAGTACACGTCATAAAGTACCAAGTACCAATGAAAAACGAGAGGCCTAGTGCACCATCACAGAAAGATCTGGGATACAAAGTTAAGTTGTGAAAAGTTGTGGGAGTAAAAACTGAAGAGCAATACATGTAACCCATGTGACACCATTGTCAACACACAGCCCCGTGTTCCCACGTGCGGATGCCGCACAGTGTACTTCCAATGTGTGCACTAGTGTGCCGGGCACACACTCAAGGCCCCGCAGGATACCACCGGACTGCCAGCAGGAGTTTGGTGGCGTGCGTTAGCTTTAACTGTAATGTTTCATGTTGATGAATGTGCATTCATGTACTGTTTGTGTAATGGCAAATTAATAAATTAGAAACAAAATAAAATAGAAGGCGTTTTTTTTCTTCTTGTCCACTCTCTCTGCCCCCACCCCCCGTGCTCTGGGTCTTGCATCTTCAGTCTTCTCTCCCCAGAAAGGTTTCTGTCTCCACCATATTTTCTACTTCTGCCTTTCCTCTGCATCTTCACATGGAAATTCCACCAGGTTCCACACATAGATCAAGACAGACGGGTGGCCCTCGTGGCCTGCTAACACACACGCCCTGTGCCTGCTTTTCCTGGAGACAAAGCCTGGCTGTGGCTCCCACTGCAGCCTGAAGCTGCCCCTCACAACACCACTGGTCATTTGCTGCTAATCCTAATTCACATATTTCAGTTCTTACCTGTTTGAGCTCTTTGAACCTCATTTCTGTTTATTGCCATGTAATTTTCATAGTAGATGTTTCCTATGCCTTTATTTTCCTTTTTAATTTTTTAAAAGTTCTCTGTACAAATTATAACTGAATGTTTTTTATTTTTAGCCCAATCTGTATTTTAATAGACAAATTTTGTTCATTCCTATTTATTATTATTACTAGAATCTGACTTTATGTTCTTTCCTTAAAATGCTTTCCAAGCCCTTCCCATTTCTCCCCTCCTGCCTCGTTCAATTGAGGGCTTTGCTCATTTTGGGCCTCTCTTATGGTGAGGAGGTTGTACCTTCCACATCCTTTCTTCTGGTGGTTATATTAAATTCTTATATTAACTTTTGGACATTTTTAACC